CAGACTTCGACATCGCTATGACCACCAGCCACAGCAACAAGCGAGAGAGGTCGATGGAGTCAGCTCAACCAGCGAGCAAGAAGGCTAAGGTAACCAACCGCGGCACATGGTCGAGATCCTTTGCGGAAGTGGTAAAGGATCGGAAGATCATTGGTGACATCGACCAGAGCGTTGAAGGCGGTAGGATCCCACGAAACCAATGGGGTCTGGTTAGACGGGCCCTTGCATCAGTGGCCTTGAAAGTGCTGGACGAAAACCCAGGCCCGCCACCCGATTGCACAGATGCAGGGTGGTACCAGGGCAATGTAAAGTTGATCGCCTGCGAAGACGAGAGATCGGCAGCACTCTACAAGGCTGCAATTACCAAAGTCGGCGAGGTCTACCCCGGGGCCAAGCTGGCAGCTTGTGAGGCTGCAGACATCCCGTCTCGACCGAGAGCGAGGTTGTGGCTGCCGTCGGAACCATCGGAACCAGAGGCTATACTCAGCCTACTGACCAGGTTCAACCCAAAACTTCCAACAGACGGTTGGAAGGTGGTCAAGGTGGAGAAAACCGAGCGAGTCACCATGAGCGTGGTTATCCTCCTGAACCAGGCCTGCTTGGAACCCCTCGCAGCCCAACAACACAGAGTGAACTACGGGTTCGATAAGGTGCAGCTACGCATATACGACACCGATAAGTTGGCGGCAGACAACCTGGCTGCCTGCGCGTCGTACGAACCCCCGAGCGACGACGAACCAGATCACGAAGAGGCCACCCTCACCGGCTACGTGTCAACCAACTCGGAGCTGACAGAGAGCCTGAAGCAGCTGTGCACCCAGGACACAGCCCGACCAGGGCGCTCTGTTCTCCAGGACATAGCGGAGAAAGCGGAGGGTACCCAGCCCGAACCCAGTCCCAAAGATGGTGCAGTTTCTGCAAATTAATCTGCACCACAGCAAGGCAGCATCCGCTGCCCTCCTCACCCGCCTGGAAACAGGCAACATAGACGTAGTCCTCATTCAAGAGCCATAGATTGTTGGTAACAACATCTGTGGCTTATCAACCCCCCTATACAAGCTTTTTTACACCAAGGACAAGGGTGAAACCAGAACCTGCATTCTTACAAAGTCACACTTTAATACATTTCTTATTCTACAGTTTAGCGAAGGCGACCTTACCACGGTCAGACTGGAGCTAAACGAACACACACATCACACCATAGCATCATTCTATCTGGCTCACGATTACGAAGGGCCACTACCAAACACCACTACACAAGAACTCATACGCACTCACTCATCTAAGGAACTCATCCTGGGTGGGGACGCTAACTCACACCAGACACAATGGGGAAGTACAAACACCAACGAAAGTTACTCTACGACTATCTCCTTCAATGAAATCTATTCATCTGCAACAAAGGTAATGACCCAACTTTCATCACTAGAAATAGGAGGGAAGTACTAGACATTACTCTAATATCTGATCCCTTACTTAACCAGCTAGACGTGTGGAAGGTGGGGATCGAACACTCATTCTCGGACCACCGATACATAGAATTTACAATAAGTCTAGAACATCCTCCCGCCGAGAACATAACTAATCTAAGATTAACCAGCTGGGGATACTATAAAAATCTCCTCAACAGGAACCTACCCGCTCCTCCGACACACATACGCAACCGTCAAGAATTAGATAGCCTAGCTAACACTTTTACTGATATCTGCGGTGAGGCCTTTAAAAGGGCTTGCCCAAGTAGAACAGTCAAAACAAAGCACAAACCCCCATGGTGGAACCCAACCCTAGCGAACCTTAAAAGAGAGTGTAGAACTTACTTCAATAAAGCTAAATACAACAATAGCGAATCCTCCTGGAATTTATATCATACAAAACTAAGCCTATACAAAAAGGAAATTAGAATATAAAAACGAAGAGCCTGGGCTAACTTCTGCAGTAGTATAGAATCTACTGCGGAGGCATCCAGACTCAGAAAAATTCTAGCTAAAGCTCCAGCGACCATTGGCTATCTTAAAACCAATGCTGACAGCTGGACGGAAAACAGTCAGGAAACCCTTGAACTACTGTTAGACACCCACTTCCCTAAGAACACCCATGTAATGGAGGACCTCCACATAGAGGAGAATTTAGACGACCGAGTATTGACAACATTTCAAACCCTGGCCGCATTCAGTGGGCTGTCAACTCTTTCAAGCCCTTCAAATCACCTGGCCCAGATGGGTTCTTCCCGGCCCAGTTACAACGGACACTAGATATGTCCCTTCCCTGGCTGACAGCCATCTTCCACGGATGCCTTCCTCTAAACCATATTCCAACAAGGTGGCTGGACGTTAAGGTAATTTTTATACCGAAAGCCGGCAAGCCCTCCCACACCAACCCAAAGGACCGACCATAGCCTACTCTCTGACGCACAGCATGCGTACCGTAAGGGTAGGTCAACCGATACCGCCCTCCACTCTCTAGTGTACAGTATAGAACGAGGCTTCCGCAATAAGGAATACTCTCTTGCAGCGTTTCTAGACATAGAAGGCGCCTTTAACAACGTCACCCCAACGGCGATTACTTGTGCTCTGACTGAACTGGGCATTGGGCGGCCCATAGTGGGACTCATACACACCATGCTAACCAGCAGGGTAGTGCACTCCACTATGGGACCGGCCCACTCGACCAGGAACGTCAGTAGAGGAACCCCACAAGGGGGCGTACTCTCACCTCTTCTATGGGTTTTAGTGGTCAACAAACTGCTTTCACTCCAAAAGACGCGGATGACGTGGTTATCCTACTGCAGGGTAAATTCCCGCAAACCCTTTGCAATCTAATGGAGACAGCCCTATCCACCCTCTCCCGGTGGACAACTGGCTGTGGACTGGGAGTTAACCCGGAAAAAACCGAACTAGTTCTCTTTACAAGGAAGTACAAGGTACCAATTCTAGTTCCCCCAAAACTACACCAAACGCGCCTAACCTTTAGCAACCAAGCAAAGTACCTAGGTGTCATTCTTGACAAAAAGCTCCTCTGGACTGATAACATCCTAGTTCGCATACGCAAAGTGGCCATAGCCCTCTTCGCTTGTAAAAAAGCCATAGGGAGGAAGTGGGGTTTCTCCCCCATGATAGTTCACTGGCTATATACTGCAATAGTCAGGCCCATTCTACTCTACGGAAACATCGTTTGGTGGCCTTCTCTAGATAAAAACTGTAACCTCCGGATCCTTCACAAGATCCAAAGAAGCGCAGAGCTCTGCATCAGTGGGGCGCTGCGCACTACCGCCACTGAGGCACGAAATACAATTCTCGATCTCCAACCCCTGGAGCTACTTGCCAAAAGCTGGGCATCTGCCACAGCGCTGAGGCTCCGTGAAGCAGCGGCATGGACAACAGGCTCCACGGGTCACTCCAATATCCTATCAAAGCATTCACCCCTACGACGTTATACAGACTACGTCCCACCCATAGTCGACTTCGAAAGAAGATACAAAATTTATATACCCACCCGTTCAGACTGGGACAACCTCCCACATCAATTCGTAAACGCCGTCAACATATACACTGACGGCTCCAAGCTTAACTCCCAAGCAGGTGGGGGAGTCTTTTCCCCCGAACTAGACTTAAAAGTCTCATTCCGTCTGCCAGACCACATGCCACAATTCTAGACTCACATGGCCAAACTACAACACGAAAAGAACAAAAACTCTCCTACAATGTAGCAGGGAGAACATCTCCACTCTCCTAAATGCCCTCACGGGCCACTGTCTTATAGGGACTCATGCGATAAGGCTGGGTCTAAGTAACCACGACTTCTGCCGCAGCTGCAAACAGATAGACGAAGAGGAGAGCATCGAACACCTCCTATGCTTCTGCCCAACGCATAACCTAAAGCGCTTTCAAACCCTAGCTACCTAGGGTAGCTTCCGAACCTTGCGGCCATTCAGGACGTAAGCATTCAAAAACTACTATGTTTCTTGAGAAAAACAGAATACTTCGCGAAAGCAGATAACCCATGAGCTAGGGAAACGGATCTTTTCAGAGATCATGTGGTATCACAAGGGGCCCATTGTGGCCTAAGTGAGGGGACTAATATTTAGTCTCCAACCACTCCTACCTAACTTAACCTAACCTATACTCTGAATTAATAAAGGTCGGTTAATCCAATTTTGAATTAAACACCGCATATCCGTTAATATCATCCAGAACTTAAAAGGGACAGACTCAGTTTAGCATGACTTATTTGCAAAATACTATTGTTTTTGGGTGGAATTGGAAAGCTTTATTTGTGGTATCTAAAACCTTAATTTTTCTCCTGGTTTCAAAGGTTACACGGCCTTAGACGGCAACTCCCGAGTAGGAAAGATCTTTGGTTTTTTCCCTTTTAACCGGTAAGGTGATGTGAAGGATTATTCGGATTGGAGTATTAAATAATAGATTCCGGGTGACACGAGGTTCCTTTATGTAATGGATTTTGGACAACTTGTGTGCGCACTTGTGTTCGCACTTGTGTTCGCAATGACTCGATCGACGGTAATGCATTTGTCTTTTGTCGCTTAAAGAAGTTTTGGGCTCGCAAACGAGCTTTTGAGAGTTCGTGCAGAGCTGCCGACACCGAATTACTCAAGCCGGGGCGATAACGGAGGAATCATACGATTTTCTACCTGCTTATTGCTTATCTATCATATATGAGCGTTTTTTTCTCGATGCACTCTTGCAAGGCGAAGCTTTCTGCATATCTTTATTTTTTAAGTAATACCTAAATCAAACTTCATAATTTGAAACTCACTAAGGCTTAGCAACTAAAACGTGTAAGTCTGAATTAGTTTAGGAATATGTTAGAAGCTAAGAGAAATATCTGCTTTTTTTTATGTTTGTGAAATTATAAGCGCAATAAAATTATTATAAAGTTCACAAAGTTTTGCGCCGCATGAAAACCCGATGCACAAATACAAATGCAAAGCGTGTTTCCAGGTGGCTTTTTTTGTTCTCTCTCTCTTTCTCTCTCTCTTTTCCTTTTACTTCCAGCTCGACTCGACTGCTGTGGCTGTGATTTCCTTTTTATTTTTCTTTAAATTCGAAGATTTCTTTTCTCTCGCTCTCTTCTTTCCCCGTTACTTCTTGCATTCCCGCTGCACAGACGGCGGCGGCCTTCTTGTTGTTGTTGGTGTTCATCAGCTTGGTGAGAATCTTGCGGGAATGGCCAGAGGGGTCGAAGTGGTTGGTGTGCTCGGTGGCCTCCTTCTTGGAGCGCTGTTTGCCGCTGTGGCCGGAGAAAATGTGCTTGTCATGGTCGAAGTTGTAGTGCTCGTACTCATCATCAAAGTGCGCTTTGGACGTAGTGGCGATTTGGAGTTGCGAAACTAACTGCGTTCTTGCTTTTTCTCTATGTACTTTTCTGCTCTGCAAACTCGCAGACTGGCTTTTCACTAAACGGCTGCTTTCTCTGTTTTCCACTTTTCGGTGCGTTGCGAACGGAATTGAGAACCATGAACCATAAAATGTCTTATACTTCAGAAGTTTCACTCAATGGAAATTATAAAGAGAACATTAAGAGCATAGGTATTTCTACTTTCTATTTAAACTGACCACTACAAAACTTATACCATCGGGTTTTCATCCGACGACAACTTTGAAATAATGTTCAGGATGGATCGGTTTACACGTTCTATTTGTCCATTGCCTCTTGGAACTCCTGTGGTGCCCCAAACGTGTTCGATGTTTTCTTCCTTCACAAATTCCTCAAAGCTAGACGACGTAAATGCTGCTCCGCGATCGCTTACTATACGAGCTGGATTACCAAAGATGTTCCCGTAACTTCTTAAGGACTTCGTCTGCACCTGTTGTTTTTGTGGGATACATCCATACCAACTTGCTAAAGCTGTCAACCATCGCGTAGATGTACTTGTAATGCTTTGATGTAGCATCCATTGGTCCCAGATGGTCTACGTGTATAGTATGAAGCGGCTCTGATCCTTTGTCGATTTGATGCAAAAATCCTTCTTTTTTGCCGAGCTTTTTGTTGTAAATTATACATTTCATACAGTTTCCTAGGATCTTCAGTACCTTCCCTTCTAGATGTGGGATCCAATAACTCTGCTGTATGGCATGCATTGTTTTTTGTACGGCAAAGTGGCCTGCGTTGTGTGCCTCTGTTATTATCTCTCTCTCCAGCGATTTCGGTATTGCTAACAGATCCGTTCCCTGCACAACCTTGTACACCAGACCAGCCTTTAATTTAAAGTTGTCATATGGTTTACTTTTCAGGATTTCGGAGACTGCTTTGATCATCGTATCCTCCTGCTGGGCTTTCTTGATTATTGCTGTGAGTTCCGAGGATACTATCATGACATCAATTGGGTATCGACTCAGGCAATCCACGTGCCTCAGCCGCTCTCCTGGTCTGTGTTCGACCTCAAAACTGTAGTCCTGCAGGTACAGTACCCATTGGGCTACCTCGCGCGGAACGTCTTTCTTGCTTAACGTTTGTTTAAAAGCGGCGCAATCAGTTACAAGCTTGAAGTTGGTACCGAGTATGTACTGACGGAATTTTTTCCATGCGAAAAAAATAGCTTTGGCTTCTTGTATATAGCTGTGCTGTCGTGCTTCAGACTCCGAGGTTTTCTTGCTCCAGACCCATTTTAAATTTAACGTCTTTTCGCAGCAAATTCGTTAATGGTTTTGCGATCAGTGAATAGTTTTTTATAAACTTACGGAAAAACCCAGTTAATCCCAAAAACGACTGCACCGCCTTGATGTTTTGCGGCATTGGAAACTTTCTGATGGCTTTGGTTTTCTCCGGTCCAGACTTAATTTCTCCTCCTCCAACTTGATGTCCCAAAAATGTTATGTAGGACTGTAGGAATCGGCATTTCTTCCACTTTATCTTCAGCCCGTATTCAGCTGCTGCATCTAAAACCTTCTGTAGCTTTCCCAGGCATTCGTCGGCAGTTTCGGCGTGTATAACAGTGTCGTCCATGTAGAGATCCAGAATGTTTTCATTTATGAGGTTTTGAAATACATAACTTATGAAGCGGATGAAGACTGCTGGCGAGTTGCAAAAACCGAAAGGCGCTCGATTGAATTCAAAGAGGCCCTCCTTCGTTATGAACGCTGTATATTTCTTGCTGCTTTGTTTGACTGAAACGTGGAAGAAATCATTTTCCAAGTCCATTATGGTGAACATATTTGCATTTTCCAGTTTTTCAAGCACATCTTCAACGATTGGAACGGGGAAGCAATCTTTTAACACCATCTTGTTCAACTGGCGGTAGTCCACGCAGACCCTGTTGCTCCCATCTTTTTTCTTGACGATGACTGTGCGGCTGGCGAAACTTGAGGATGAGCGCCGTATTATTCCAGCGTTCACCCATATATCAATCTGCTGCTTAACTACATCAGCCTCGCTTATAGCCACTCTGCTTGGAGCATGTCAAAACGGCGTTATGTTCTCATCCGGTAAAATTGTCAGCGTGATCGGGCACACAGCAGTCTGCTTTTTTTCGGAAAATTCTTCAATCATCGATTGGACGGTATCTCTGTACTGTAAGGGGACATCTATATCAGTATTTGCTTCAACCACATTGTAGATACTTAACTGATTCGTGTTCACAGTTTCCTCCTCATTCAGAGGAGAAAACTGATATCCTTCCGGCGTCGACCTCATTGTGAATTTGGATATAAAGTCATATCCCAGCAGCAAATCGCATCCGATAGCATGATTGGCCACCACAAGAAGCTTGTGTGCCAGACACATTCCGTCGATCTCCACTTCTGCCATAAACTGACCAGCGGAGCGTGTGATGTTGTTTCCAAGTCCTCTTAAAGTTGCACAGCTTGGCTGCAAGAAGGCGCTACCCATTTTCTCAAACACGGACATTTTAAATCACCACCTGTGTCTATGAGCCCCTTGACTTGTACATCGTTGATTTTGAGAGACTCAAGGCGTTTTTCCTCGTATGCTACGTTTACGGCAGCCGTACAAGGGCAATCTTTCAACGTGTGACCACTCTGATTGCAGCGGAAGCACTTTAATGCAGCTCGGCAATCCCTGCGTAGATGTTCTTGGGATCTACGATTGTAGCAGTGCTGTTTCCTCACATAGCTGTTGTGCTCGGGCTTCCTTGCGGGCGGCTGTGATTCTTTCTTCTTTACCATCAGATTCTCATCGATCTGACGCGTTCGTTCGTAGATTTCGTATTTCATACAGGGTGTACTTGTAATCCGTTTTAAGCCTCAATCCGTCGACAATATACCGAATTACCGACTCCGTGTCCAATGTCCCACGATCAGCGATGCGTTTCATCTGTAGCATGTACTCGTGAAAGCTTTCATTGCTTGCTTTCACTCGCACAGACAGCTGATTGTGAATTTGGGCACTGCATAAACGATCGCACTCGAGTTCGAGTTGTAAGTTGGTGACGCAGCTGGCTGTACTCGTACACTTCTGTAGACTCCAGGAAAAAAGCGGCTGTAGATGTCATTTTGGCACGAGCTTGTACGTATTTCTGTTTTTCGTTAAGCCCATATGCTTCAGCGTTTAATTCGAAGTTATTAAACCACTGCTGCACTGACATATTTTTTCCACTGAACTCAGGAATTATTTTCGCAAAATTTTTCACTACCAGCTTCGCATCATTTTTTTTGTCAATTTCATCGGCGCTAATTTTTAACGTTAGAAGTTTAGCCAGATCTTGGAGCGTCTATGTGTTTTCTTCTAAGACGTTTGTGTCGTTTCGGCGATTGTTTCCACCTGTCCCTGATCCACTTGGGTCATCGTATGTTTCCATTTTCTCATCTGGTGGTTCCTTTTCATTTGTCATAATAATTCTGTTGCGCAATACCTTTACCGGTAGCCTGCTTAAAAATACGGTTTTCTTTTTCTGATCTTCTTTCCTCCCGGTTGTTGTCTCGTTTCCTTTGCTGGCGGCTTTTGAGTTATGCGGCACCAAACTGTTTTCTTGTGTCCCTTTATCGGCTAACTGCTTCTGAGACATACGGCTTGCGCATTTTCTCACTTTTCACTGGCAGTTCGCGACTGGTTGAGCCCCCAAATGTAAGATATTATTGGATATTGTTTATTAAAATTATTTCGCGGTGCACAGGTAATGAATAGGACAATTGGCTTTTATTAAACTGCTGGATAAATGCTGCTGCTTTCTGCTGACTTTTCACACGTTCGGCTGCTTCAATTCCCTCTGGCTTACTCTAATGCTCGGCTGCTACTTGTACTTCTTCTGCTGTTACTCTTCTGTACGACTTCTGCTGCTGTTACTCTGCTGTTCGCCTTCTGCTGCTCTTATCCAGTGTGCCTTTATTAGAACTGCTTGCCTACTCTCTGTTACATATATATTATGCCAGAGGCATGCGACTTCTTCAACGGCTGGTGGAGAGATTCGTCCTCTCTAATTGTTTATCATGATTCGCACTTTGTCTATTGATTCGGTTGGTTTAAATATATTTCAATTCATGTTTGAATACTTCATTTTCACTTGTTATCCAATTGTATTATTAGAGGATATTGGTCCTTGGTTATGCATGAGTTCACTTTAGCTTTGGTTGGTTCGATTAACACATTTATATTGCATCACTACTTTCTCCGACGTATGCTATTGGTCGCTACGCTCTGATTGGATGGTTCCTACAGCTGAACAAATTTCAGGAGCATGGACATCACGGATACTGCGTCCACAAACATCGCAGTATGTCGGATGTCGTCCTTATTGTTGATCTTCTCCACGTTCTTTGATGACAATAGCGGCGCTGGTTCGACACAAGATTATTTCGAGCTGCAATTGTGTTCTCCTCAAGGACTGTTGAATATGGTGGCTGGTCCTGGTGGCAGAAGACTCCATGGACGACTGCCCCAGGATAAGTCGCCTTCCCTCGAAGCTGCCGGCTTCCGTCAGCAAGACACCCAAATGGATTCTCCCTCTTTCTATATTTGTCTAAGGTCTTTTATACCAGACTAGTCTGGTAGTATAGTCTTTTATACCGTCAGCAAGACACCCAAATGGATTCTCCCTCTTTCTATATTTGTCTAAGGTCTTTTATACCCTTTGCCAGCTACCGGAGTATGGTTACCAATAGGTCGGTAGTGGCCGTTGTTCTGGCCACGCGACACCCGAGAATTGCCGAATTGCTTTTTCTTCTGCCTTTACCAGTATGAGTCTGGTTAGTCACATGCACCCCTCCCCCTGGCCAAAGACTCGTCGTTGTTTCTCTATGTGAATGTGGAGGGCGTACGTAACAGGCTCGAAGTGATCGATGCGGACCGCATGGAATGACTTCGCAAAAGGAACCTGCGTACGACCGTCGTTGTCTGTTCCGTGTTTCTTCTCCTTTTTAGGCGCCCACGTGTGGCTTCGACCCACTCCTGTGATCGAAGTCTCATGTTTTATCGGCTGAGCTGTCCCGGCTGATATCCTCACTGCTGTTGCTCTATGTCAAAGGTATATTCTGTACCCTAGTATTTTTCTTAAACTTGGTGCATGGAATCTGTGTTTTGATGTTTCTTCTTTTGATCTAACTGACGATCGATTAAAGCATATTTATTTGGAATGGTTTGATTTATAAGTTTATAGGGTGTAAGACCTTTTGTGCTATTAGAAAAGCTTTGTAGAACTGGGCATGTTTTTCACAGTATTTTTTAACCAGCGGTCCACTCGGAGACCCTCCTTTTTGAACTCCGCTAACGAAGTTAATGGGGATGTTAGTAGCAAGCCGCCCATCTGGGATTTCATGTTGTCTTTCAAAAGCTCAACAAATTCATCTTCTTCGATTTTATGCTTTAGTTTGAAATGCAAGTTGTGCATATCGGAGACATAATCGTTGAAGGTATCGTGCTGTCCTAGCTTGCGTTCCACTAATTCCTTGACTTTCATAAGGTCACTTCTGGTAGTGGAAAACGCTCGTTCCATCTCCTGTGTCAACGAATAGTAGTCAAAATCGTAATCTTCTGCCTTGTCCTCCATTAACTGCCAATACAATTTCGTGGCTGCACCTGCCAACAGAAGATGGAATTCACGAAATACTTGTTGGCGGCTGAGGTCATATAATTCTTGCAATCGGTCCACGCGGAACAGGAAACTTTCAACTGTCATGCCGCGACCGCTTCCATCGAACTTTAGGTTCCATCTGTCTAATCTGACATCTTTTGGTCTCGGTCCCTGAAATGATGAGTTCCGATCGATCTCTGGATGCAGTTGGTGACTCGAATCCCTCTCGTTTGTTCTGGATTGCCTGTGTGACGGAGTATCAAGTCGCCTGGGTGTTCTTAACCGGTGTATCTGCCTATTGAGCATGTCCTGTGTTACCGGTTCCAGAGGCGGAGTCTCTGATATCTCAAGAAACTGTCCGTGGGATTCGGAACAGTTCGGGGCGGCGAAGGCAGTTTCTTCTGTTCGGGTCTCCTGGATGTCGGAGACTGCAATTCAGTAATTTGTGCTTTCAGCGCTTCTATCTGGGCGCTCATACCACGCTGCATTTCGTTGCTCTGCCTCAAGAGCTCCAGCAATCTTTGTTCCCGCCGCTCGGCAGCCTTTAAGTTGTCCTCTTCATGCCTCTGAAGTTGGGGAAGCAGCCTGATCTCCCCTTCGGCGGTCCTAGGGATAGATTCTCCCCACCGGCGGCTCCTTCCATTTCAGTATACTGGTCCAGATTGATTTCTTTAGACAGGGTATCTACCTGCCCTGGCTGATTCTGTGCGCGCTCCCACGGCTCTCTTTCATGTGAATCTCCTAGCCTTGGCGCGCTTGCACTGCTTCACCGCGCGTTGTTGCTCGGGTCACTCTTCCGGTGCTTGGTTGGAATAAGACCTTCTTCTTGGCCCCTTCATTTATATGATTAGGCCTTCTTTAAAGGCCTCCGCTTTCTTTTATAAATTGTCACTTTGTGCTGATTAATACATGCACTAAAATTTTCTTTTAATGTAAAAGGTTTACGTGATTCTTTTCAAAACACCCGGTCAGCGACGTAAACGCTGAATAAATCAACAATAAAAATGTTTATAAACTGGCGGTGCTTCTCTCTGCTTCTCAAGTTTCTCTTCGGTCAAGAACCGTCCGATATTTAAGCCCAAAAAATACATTTCCCTAACTAGGGGTGTTAGCCGCTTTTACACAACTGGGTTCCGCTAAACTAACATGCCCTTACTTTCCCTTTCTCTAGACAGCTCTAATGTTCCAAACGGAATGGCTGTGTTTAGATAAGGAATCTTTCCCAAAACCCCCTCCCGCCAGTCGTCGGAAAACAAGTCGTTTGACCGATCATTCTCGGGCTCCACAACCGTCTCCTATTTCTCTGGACTCGAACCAAGCAAACAATCTGACCATCTAGCCTAATACGTTGTGGGGCGTCGGCCAGAGAAACTAAGGATCGTCCATTGCCCAAGTATGTCAAGGGAAACCGAAAGACTTGAACCAAGCAAATAGAGTGTGGGGCGTCGGCTTTGCGTTTCCTGTCAGTTCCCCCACCCCCATTCTGTCCTGGATCGACAAAGGAACAGTAGACCCGCACCGCAACTGCTAAATGCGTTACCGTAATGATTGCGCTCCTGCTCTTTCTGGACTCGAACCAATCAAACGACCTGGCAAATGCCTAGTACGTCGTGGGGCGTCGGCCAGAAAGCACCTATAAATTGTATTTACGTTAATTTTAACAAATAGTCGGTCGGCACTTAGTTCTAGGTGTAGTATTATAAAAAGGATAACTCATAGATCTTGGTTTAAGGAAATTCTGGTAAATTTGCCCATGAACAAAACAGAGAATTTCTAAGGTTAAAAACATTTCAAAGTCAGGCCTCTCAATACTGACAGTCACAGAAGTTGGGGACTTTACGGTTACTAATTTAAAGACAAAACAAATAAGTAGGTGCATATTTAAAAATATTTAAGTTCCCTGCTCTATAAAACAGTCAAATTACTCATGACAAATAAAGATGAAAGCATTGCCATCCCTGGGTATATCCACTCCGATACCGCAGGTACCGAGATTGTGGAACCTGGTAAAATTCCTTAAGGAACATGAAATGTCCTTGCGTTGGGCGCCAATTCTGTTACGTGGGCATATTAGTGCCCGAGTCCTGACAAGGACTTGGGCCGAGGGAGAGGCGTCCAATGTTCAGGCACCATTTGCCGGCATAAGCTACGTCGTATTCTGGTCGTGGGATCTTGGTACGCCTCTCTCCTATCCAACATAAGGAGAATAAATGTTAAAAGTGCCTGGAAAATAATATTAGTCATAAAGTTCGTCAGCCGTCAGTCCACACTACCCCACAAGCTTAGCTGTCTCTTGATCGTAATACGATCGGGCTGCGTTTTGGCCATATTCCCTCCCCTTCACACATTCGTGTGCCATTGGATCGTCGCGGGCCGCGCAATACGATCCCCTATTGTCAAGGTTGTTCGTCGAAAGTTATGTCATTGTTCTTGACCTACTCCACTCCTCGCGTCAGCGCACCCCCTTTGTTAGAGTTCTAGCACACCATGGTTTCCAATTCTTTTTCACTTTATAAATTTGTTGGGTAATATATATCTGCGTCTGTTGATTAATCTAATTTAATTGACAATTATTCTGTTAGCGGAGAGTATCGAGAATATCACCTATGAAGGTGCACACATCAGCAAAATACTGACTATTCACGACTAAAAACGTCGCTCAGAGGGCTCTTGCAATTACCAAATAACTACAAGGCTGATACTCGCCGCTGAAAAAGTTTATAGTAGTCTATAAAACTGTAGGATACTGCACTAATATTTATATATGTATGTTTATAAGAAAGGAACCGTGTCCTGACAAACTTACCCCCTCTTTAAATCCTGGGCGATGACGCCCTGGATCCTGGGCTTTGGGAAAATATTACATTGGATATATATATATAAATATACGTGCACCAAAATACGGCTGTTCTTAAGTATACCAATTCACTTTAACACAATATATATATATATTATGCCAGAGGCATGCGACTTCTTCAACGGCTGGTGGAGAGAATCGTCCTCTCTAATTGT